CAAGTAAATGCCCTACCCACTGTGCTATGACTCCAGCCCAAAGAGAAAATAATAAGCCATTTTATTAAAAAAATCAACAAAGTTGGCAAAAATTCAGTAAAAGTGGCAAAAATATCTATTCCCTAGTCATTTGAGATATCAAATGTATTTCACATATTTTAGAACTTTCAGTATTAGATATCCCACTGGAAGATTATTTATATTTTTCCCTAAATGATGGTTCTTCACATATAATTAAATTAAAGAAGAACCATGAGAGGTTCAATTTGCCCTTGAAAATTAGTCTTTCATTCCTAATACACTTGAAGAAATTTTAAATGTTATAATGAATAGAATAGAACATGAACATGTGTAGCATAAATATGAAAATCCGCTTGATCAACTGTGTAACCATTTTTAAGTTAAGTAAAACTAGCTTTATAGTGTTCCATGAATTAAATTAATTTCAACTCATGGATAATCCAACATTTCAATAATTTAAAAACTATTTTACTTCACTTTAGCATACATAAGCACAAAAAGCATTTTACACTGCCTGCCTTTTCCTGTGGTGTACAGAGATCAAGGTTTTATCACATAATGCTTAAACTTATGTTGAAAACTATGAACAAATAGATATGTTATATATATTGAATGAAGTGTGGTTTGTTTACATGAGAAGTCTGAATATATCCATTTGTTCAAATTGGTGGAGCAGTGGTTTCTAAAGTTTATATAAATAGCTATACATGGGGCTGGAGAGATAGTATGGGATAAGGAGCTTTGCCTTGCATGCAGCCAACCAGGGTTGAATTCTTGGTACCCCATGTGGTCCCCTTAGCCCCAACAGAGGTGATCCCTGAGTGCAGAGTCAAGAGTTGGCCTTGAATTGCACAAATTCAATGTGATCCCTATAATGATACCCATGACATTCTTCAAAGAAATGGAGCAAACAGACCTGAAATTCATGTGGAACAATAAACCCCCACAAATAGCTAAAGCAATTCTTGGGAAAAAGAAAATGGGAGGAATCAACCTCCCTAACTTCAAACTCTACTACAAAGCAGTAATAATTAAAACAGCATGGTACTGGAACAAAGGCAGAGCCACAGACCAAGGGAACAGGGTTGAATATACTGACATCTCCCCACAAACATATGATCATTCAATCTTTGACAAGGGAGCAAGAAATGTGAAGTGGAGCAAAGAAAGCCTCTTTAACAAATTGTGCTGGCAAAACTGGATGGCTACATGCAAAAAATGGACTCGGATCTCTGCCTAACACCATGTACAAAAATAAGATCAAAATGGATTAAAGACCTCAACATCAGACAGTAATCAATAAGATATATTGAAGACAAAGTTGGCAAAACCCTCCATGACATTGAAGCTAATGGTATCTTCAAAGATGTCACGCCACTGGCCAAGCAAGTGAAAACAGAGATAGACAAATGGGACTATCTTAAACTAAGAAGCTTCTGCACCTCAAAAGAAACAGTGACCAAAATACAAAGACAGTCTACAGAATGGGAAAGGATATTTGCCTAATACACATCCAACAAGGGGTTGATATCAAGGATATACAAAGTACTGGTTGAACTCCACAAGAAGAAAACACCCAACCCCATCAAAAAATGGGGCGACAAAATGAACAGAAACTTTCTCAAAGAAGAAATCCAAATGGCTAAAAGGCACATGAGAAAATGCTCTACATCATTAATTATCAGGGATATCAATGAGATATTACACCACGGAGACTGGCCCACATCCAAAAGAACAAAAGCAACCAGTGTTGGCACGGATGTGGTGAGAAAAGGGCTCTCCTCCACTGCTAGTGGGATTGCCCACTGGTTCAGCCCTTTTGGAAAACAGTATGGAAGATTCTCAGAAAATTAGAAATTGAGCTCCTATTTGACCCAGCAATACCACTCCTGGGAATATATCCCAGAGAGACAAAAAAGTATAGTTGAAGTGACATCTGCACTTGTTTGTTCATTGCAGCACTGTTTACAATAGCCAGAATCTGGAAAAAACCTGAGTGCCCGAGAACAGATGACTGGTTAAAGAAACTTTGGTACATCTACATGATGGAGTACTACGCAGCTGTAAGAAAAGATGAAGTCATGAAATTTGCATACAAGTGGTACTACATGGAAAGTATCATGCTAAGCGAAATGAGTCAGAAAGAGAGGGACAGACATAGAAAGATTGCATTCATCTGGGGAACATAAAGTAACAAAATAGGAGACGAACACCCAAGAATAGACGAGATAAGTACCAGGAGGTTTGCTCCATGACTTGGAGGCCAGCTGCACATGTTAGGGTAAAAGGCAGCTCATATAGAGAAGGGAGCACCAAATAAAGGGTGTTGGGAAGATCCTCCAAGGATGGGAGATGTATGCTGAAAGTAGACTATAGACCGAACATGATTTCCACTCAATGCCTCTTTTGCAAACCACAGCACCCAAAAGGAGAGAGAGAACAAAAAGGGAATGCCCTGCCACAGAGGCAAGGTGGAATGGGGGGATGGGGGTGGGAGGGATATTGGGATCAGTGGTGGTGTAAATGGGCACTGGTGGAGGGATGGGTACTCGATCATTGTATAATTGAAACCCAAGCACAAAAATTTAGAAGTCTAAAAAAGAGTTGGCCTTGAATACTACTGGGTGAGTTTCCCCCAAAAGAAAAGAAAATTGCTATACAAAAGGAAACACTGATTGGGAAGCATAGAGTGGCAATTGATAGAACTGTGAAGAGAAGTAGATTCACTATTAAGATTGGAGACTTCAACACACTCTCTCAACCACTTATAATAAAAACTAGACAGAATAAGCAAAGACAGGATAGCTCTAGGTATAATGAAACAAGCTAATTGTATAGCTAGAAAAATTACACAAAAATGTTTATGATGTTTATATATATGTATATATAAAACTTTTGTCAAAATAAGCTCATCTTAATATTTGTTCCTTGAGAAACACATTTATAAAAAACAAAGTCAATTCAATCTATTAAAGCAAAAGAGGTAAAACAGATGCATTACCCTAAAGTAATCTACTCTAATCTATTTTCTATAAAAAGATAATTTTTCCACATATAAAACTGATGCCATTTGGGGGACTATTAAGATGTGAATTTCTTTTAACAACACACATTTTTCTTTTCTTTTTGGGTCACAACTGGCGATGCACAGGGGTTACTCCTGGCTCTACACTCAGGAATTACCCCTGGCGGTGCTCAGTGGACCATATGGGATTCTGGTACTCGAACCCGGGTCAGCTGCATGCAAGGCAAATGCCCTACCCGCTGTGCTCTTGCTCCAGCCCCAACAACATACATTTTAAATACATTATACTACTAATAAAATTTTCTTTAAAATAAAAAATGATTTAATAAGCTGTCTTTGAGGAAGCTTGGTGGCACTACTAGAAGAGAATAAATCTCAGGATGTAGAAATATCATTAAGCTAGTATCAGAATGCCCACAGAAAGAAGTATTTAGGATTGAGTTAGAAGCAGCTTTGTTGGTTGCAGTGCAGGCTAAACTAAATCAATTCAAGATGTCTGTAAATGTTAATTTTATTTCATCAGTTTATTTTGTTATTTATACCAAGGAAGACTATTCATAGTAACATTTGTCAGGTGAACCATGAAGCTTGATCCCAGTGACCACATTTTTAACCTCTAGAGAGAAATACCTTTCAAATATAAAATGATTTTTATCTGTTCATGCTTTGAATTTTATTTAGCTCTTTATTTTACATAGCGTTGAGGTATTTGAAAATATTCTCAGTATTTAGTCTTTTATTATTTTGGTTTTTTACCTAAAGTTAATTTTACATTAATTCAACTGACTTCCCCTCAATAAATATGCGCCAAATGTGATATTTATTGTTTTGTATATTTTTGTGTTGCTATAGTTACATTGATTTATTTTATACTTTCTCATTTTTCTGAGAAAATTCTCAGAAGTATGAAAATAGTTATAATGTGACATCACTGAATTCCATGGCATCCAGTCAAGTATAAACCATATTACCTGTATTGCAAGCCATAACTCCCCAAATTAGAGAGTAAGAAGGAAAGTACCTCCCACAGAGGCAGGGGGTGGGATGGGATGGGGGTGGCGGGAGGGACACTGGAAACAATGGTAGTAGAAAATGTGTACTGGTGGAGGGATGGATGCTCGATCATTGTATGACTGAAATGTAATCATGAAAGTTCGTAACTGTATCTCATGGTGATCCAATAAAATTTATTTTAAAAAGTATAAGCCATATTTCAGATTACCTTCTCTGCATATATAATCAAAAATCAAAGTTTTGTTTTTTGTCATCATCTGAGTCATGCAATTTAGAGACTTCCTTAAAAATTGCCATTAGTATTGCTAACCAATGTGTAAATTTTGTAGTTTGTTGATGTGTGTCTTGTTGGTCAATTAAATAGTACTCATAAATTCAAAAATAAGTGAATTTTTATACTCAAAAATTTAAATAAATAATAAATTATTTTTCTTAAAGTTGATCACATGAAGTTTACTTTATCTAAAGAAGTGATTCTTAAACATTACTATAAATGAGAATCACTTGGGGGGAAAGATTGATAAGCAGATTTCTCTTAGCATCACCCAAAAATATGATCCAAGATCTGGAGGGGAGCACAGGAATTGACACATACATGAGATTCCTAAATAATTCTTTTGTGGTCCACACACTTCAGTTTAAGAGGTACAAATTGGATCTAAAAGTCTTTATAAGTTAGACTTTGTAAATAATTTTGAACAGTCTCACGAAGTTATTCATATGAACGCATGGTGGCAGTGTAGGCTAAGAGAGTGAATGAAAACTGGGTGGACTCCATTTCCCTGAGAACCCTTGAAACAATATAAAACACATTTACAGCTGAAGCTCAGCTCAGCTCATCAAGGCAGTCATCGCAGGACAAGGTACTACAACGAACTGGAGTTTCACTGACAAGGAAATATCGGAGGATCGATAGTGGACTTTGTGACTGGTATTTTTCTCCTGGATTCAGGCATAACAACAGAGATGGCACTGACAAAAGCACACTGCGAGAAATGGCAAGTGGTGACCTTCATTTTATTGCTGCTTTGGTGGGAGGTGGATTCAGAACCGATTCAGTATTCTGTATTGGAGGAAACAGAAAGTGGCACGTTTGTGGCCAACTTGACAAAGGATCTGGGACTCGGGAAGGGAGAACTGGCTATACGGGGTGCCCAGGTTGTTTTCAAGGGAAACAGACAGCTTTTGCAGTTTAACCCACAAACCTATGATTTACTGTTAAATGAGAAGCTGGATCGTGAGGAGATGTGTGGCTCCACAGACCCGTGTGTGCTACCTTTCCAGGTGATACTAGAAAATCCCTTGCAGTTTTTTCAAGCTGCCTTGAGAATTCAAGATATAAATGATCATGCCCCAGAGTTCCCCACCAGAAAAATGGTACTGAAAATATCAGAAATTGCCACACCTGGAAAAGTATTTCCCTTGAAAATGGCACAGGATTTAGACACTGGTAGCAACAGCCTCCAGAGCTATAGAATCAGCCCCAACCCCCACTTCCACATCTTTACTCAAAATCGCAAGGATGGCAGGAAGTTCCCTGAGCTGGTACTGGACAAGGCATTGGACCGCGAGGAACAGTCCGAGCTCAGACTAATTCTCACAGCATTAGATGGTGGGTCTCCGCCCCGGTCAGGTTCTACAGAGATTCAGATTCTGGTACTGGACATCAATGACAATGCCCCAGAGTTTGCACAGGAGCTTTATGAGGTTCAGATCCCTGAAAATACCCCTGTTGGCACCCTGATAATTAGTGTCTCTGCAAAAGATTTAGATGCAGGAATTTTTGGGGAGGTTTCCTATGCTTTATTTCAAGTAGATGGTGTTGACCAACCCTTTGAAATAAACGCAGTTACAGGAGAAGTTCGACTGATGAGAATGTTGGATTTTGAGGAACTTCAATCATATCAGGTGGATGTGGAGGGCACAGATGGCGGGGGACTATCAGGGAAAAGTTCAGTTATCATCAACATTCTGGATGTAAATGACAATGCTCCGGAATTAACCATGTCCTCACTCATCAACTCCATTCCTGAAAACTTGCCAGAAACTATGGTGGCAGTTTTCAGTGTATCAGATGCAGATTCTGGACAAAATCAACAAGTTGTTTGTTCTATAGATGAGGACCTTCCCTTTCTTCTAAGACCCTCAGTGGAGAATTTTTACACCTTGGTCACAGAAAGCGCACTGGACCGAGAGAGCCAGGCAGAGTACAACATCACCATCACGGTGACAGACATGGGCACCCCCAGGCTGCAAACACAGCACACCATCACAGTGCTGGTGTCCGACATGAACGACAACGCCCCCGCCTTCAGCCAGCCCTCCTACACCCTGCTGGTGGGCGAGAACAACAGCCCCGCACTGCACATAGGCAGCGTGAGCGCCAGTGATCCCGACGCGGGCAGCAACGCCCAGGTGACCTACTCGCTGCTGCCTTCCCAAGACCCACAGCTGCCACTCGCCTCGCTGGTGTCCATCAACGCCGACAACGGGCAACTATTCGCGCTGCGCTCGCTGGACTTCGAGGCCGTTCGCGCCTTCGAGTTCGGCGTGGGCGCGTGGGACCGCGGCTCGCCCGCGCTCAGCAGCCAGGCACGGGTGCGCGTGCTGGTGCTGGACCGCAACGACAACGCGCCCTTCGTGCTGTACCCGCTGCAGAATGCGTCGGCGCCCTGCAGCGAGCTGGTGCCCAGGGCGGCAGAGGCGGGCTACCTGGTGACCAAGGTGGTGGCGGTGGACGGCGACTCGGGCCAGAACGCCTGGCTGTCGTTCCAGCTGCTCAAGGCCACGGAGCCCGGGCTCTTCAGCGTGTGGGCGCACAATGGCGAGGTGCGCACTGCGCGGCCGCTCAGCGAGCGCGACGCGCCCAAGCACAGGCTGCTGGTGCTGGTCAGGGACAATGGCGAGCCGCCGCTGTCGGCCAGCGTCACGCTGCACGTGCTGCTGGTGGACGGCTTCTCGCAGCCCTTCCTGCCGCTGCCCGACGCGCCGCCCGACGCGCCTCCCGATGACCGCCTCACCGTCTACCTGGTGGTGGCCTTGGCCTGCGTGTCATTGCTCTTCCTCTTCTCCGTACTGGCCTTTGTGACCGTGCGCCTGTGCCGGCGGGCTGGCCCGCCCGCAGGGGGCCCCTACCCGCTGCCTGACGCGCACTTCCCGGGACACCTGCTGGACGTCAGCGGTGCTGGGACCCTGTCGCACAGCTACCAGTATGAGGTGTGTCTGGCGGGGGGCACTGGCACGAATGAGTTCAAGTTCCTCAAGCCCATTCTGCCCACCTTTCCGCCGCAGGACACTGGTGAAGCAGTAGAGGAAAACCCCACCTTTAGGAATAGCTTCCCATTCAGTTAAGTATTGTATTATCCTACTATGCTCTATTGTTAAATCTCTCTCTCTCTCTCTCTCTCTCTCTCTCTCTCTCTCTCTCTCTCCCTCTCTCTCTTTCTCTCATTTTTTTTCTGCTATATCCTGCTGTGTGCTGTGCTGAGGAATTTGTCCTGGCTCTTTTCTCAATGAATATAGGCTGCGTGGAAAGCAGGAGCCCTATCCGCTGTTCGACCATCTCCTGAGTCTCTTATATACTAAAGCTATGTGAATCAATAACCGTTATTAAAGGACTATTTTTTATTCTATTACTACTGCTTCTTAAGAGTGAAACTAGATACAAAATCAAGCCTGGGTATATTTCCCTATACTTTGCTGGTAGTTTCAAAATATTTCTCTACCCTAACAGTGACAATATGAATAAAAACTAAGTTTTATATGAAAAAATAAACATTTTAGACTTTCAGTCATGGGAATTGGAGCTACAAAACAATGGGTAGGGGGTGTTTGCATTGTCTGAGGAAGACCCAGGTTCGATGCCCTGAATCTCATAAGGTCCCTTGTGCCCCACCAGGAGTAATTCCTGAGCACAGAGCCAGGAGTAATCCCTGAGCACACCAGGTGTGACCCACAAGCAAAAAAGAATTTTTTAAAGAATTTTAATCATGTATTCTTTTTACAAAATTGTTGGATTGTATTATGTAAGAACTTAATTTATTAAGGACATATTCCAAAATGAATTTGTAGTTCAACCTTTTTATTACAACCTATATCATCACATTTGCATTTTAGGGAGGTTATCAGAATGTTAGTGATGCTATTTAATCTGAAAATTTCAATTGCATGTTTGAGGAACTTCTTCAATCTGAAAACTCTGAAGATAAACAGTAATTGTAGCTGAAAGATAAGACAGTTTTTGTATTAATGTGTATTTCAGTATGCCATAGGATCAAATACTTTCTATGATATATATTTGACAAGTGTTAGGACATTTAGTTTGTGAATTTACATAAGAATGTCAAATGAAGGCCAGAAAAAATATTACATGAGAGTACAGAGGTTAAGGTCCTTGCTTTGCATGCCATAGTGCCAGGTTCAATCTCTGGCACCATCAGGAGTGATACCTGAATACAGATCCAGGAGTAATCCTGAGCACTACCAGTTGTGCCCTCCCCACAAAGTCAACAAATATTTAATTAGTGATCAATATTCAAATGGTGAGTTAAAAATAATTTTCAAAGAATACAGAAATGTTAATATACTCTCAGCAATCTATTACCATTGCCAAAAAAGAGAATGATTAAACATAACTCTTTTATTGTCCTTCTAGACAAAAAAAATACACCAGGGATGTAGTTTAGTGGTAGAACACATATACCTTGGTTTTAGGTTTTATGTGTATGAGGCCCTGGACTCAGTCCCTGGTGCCTCTCACCATGATATGTAAAATAATGAAACAGCAAAAAGCACTTTCCACTGACTTTAAACTGTGTGACAGCATACAAAGTGCTTTTATCTCCTTTCCTTTGTCTAATAATTTGAAATTATGTAGTAAAATCCAAATTACAGATTCCTCCTTCAGTTTTTCAAGATTTTGATTTTTGGATCACCCCTAGTGGTACTCAGGGCTACTGTAAACCAGTCCTCTTTGCATGCAAATCATCACCCTTCTCCCATTTCTCAAAGTGAGAGTCCTGCCAAGACCTACATGAACTATTAGTAGCAGGCTCTAAGGCCATGTCAGATTTCTCCGTCTCGTGCTATATGTGTGTATAATTTTTTATTAATCATTAAATATTTTCTTTCATAGTTCAACCTATATTTATTGTTGATTATATTTGCAAAATTTTATGAAAATTCCACTTTCCAACTTCCCACAAATATCAGGCAATTTATAATAAAGTGACAATTCATTTTCATCGTTAATTGGTTTTACATCCAAATAGTATATTTTCATGATTTTTCCCTCATGTAGTATTATAGATTGATTCAAAGAGTACAGGAAATGCTTCCTGTTTTGTATTCCCAGATATTTACCCTCTCCTCTTTCAAAGAGCATTCTTCATTGGGGGAAAATAAATACTCTGCTGTTGTCACTCTAACAACATGACATTTGGCTATTTCGTAGCTTTACTAGCCTTTGCAGAAAATGCATTTATGAATGAAAAACTTTCAAAACCAATATAGGCCTGAGTCTGACAAGAAAGTAGAGTTTTCAAAGAGTTATAGCACACTTCAGTTTGTTTGGTAAGCAGAAACTGGAGGTAAAAATTCATAATATCTGGGACTGAAGTGATAGTATGGTGGGTAGGGCAATTTCCTTGCATATGATCAACCCGGTTTTGATCCCTGGCACTCCATATGGTTCCCTGAGCACAGAGTAAATCCTGAGCACTGCCAAATGTGACCCAAAAACACACCAAAAATAACCCCCACAATATAATCTAATACAATAGAACAAGCTACTCTTACAGGAGAGTATATGTCCCTGAGATCAAGAATTCTGTGTTGACCTGCAAGTTTTTGCTTTATCTCTAGTAGTTAGAAAGATTCCTGGAACGAGAAATACTAGTCAAATTTTCTCTTGAGTTCAACTTTGTGTAGTGAATTTATTTCTTTATAAAGAATATGAATACAAATATAAATATATTCCTTGCATCCTCAAATCTATATTTATCTATGTGTATAAGATTGCAGGACAGGTGAGAGGGGAAGAGTTCATTCCATGGTATGAACTTGGTCTCATGCTATGTGTGTATGATGTGCCAAAAAGCTTTTAAACTATTACTTCCAGCCTTGAAATGAAAACTGCCTGATGTTGTAAAGTAGAACGCTTGGTGGCGCTGCAGACTAAGAGTAAAAAACTGTCTGCCATCTCCATAAAAGCTGAGCAGTTTGGAAACAAAGGAAACAGCTTACACTAGTGGGGTAGGTTTCAGGGAGATGAGAATATCATAATTTAAGAAAAACTAAAAATCATTGTGCCAAGACGGGAGAGCTGTCCGCAAAGCAATTATTTTGCGACTATTTGGATCTTCTGGAGCTGGAGGAACCATGACTATCCTGCTACCCAAAGCACCACAGAAAAGGCAAGTGACCGCCATTATTTTTCTGTTATTGTGGGAGGTGGGTAGTGAGACCCTTAAGTATTCCATTCTAGAGGAGGGGGATGGCGGTTCCTTTGTGGCCAATTTAGCAAAGGATCTGGGGCTGGGCTTAAGGGAGCTGACTGCAAGGGGTCCCCGGATTCTTTCCAAGGGATATAAACAACATTTGCAGTTTGAGCAGGAAAGTGGGGATTTGCTCCTCAAAGAAAAACTGGACCGGGAAGAGGTGTGTAGTGACACAGATCCATGTATACTGCCTTTCCAAGTATTGCTGGAAAACCCTGTACAATTTGTTCAAGGTGAAATATACCTCCAAGACATAAATGATCATGCTCCAGAATTCTTGGAAAAGGAAATATCCCTGAAAATCTCAGAAAGCAGCCATCTAGGAACTGTATTTGCTTTAAAAATAGCTCAAGATTTAGACGTGGGTAACAACACAGTTCAGAACTATACGATTAGCAGCAACTCCTATTTCCACGTTTCCACCCAAAGTCACAGAGATGGCAGGAAATATCCCGAACTGGTTCTGGACAAAGTGCTTGACCATGAGGTGCAGTCAGAACTCAGGTTAATCCTCACAGCACTGGATGGTGGGTCACCGCCTAGGACAGGGACTGCCCAAGTTCTCATTATGGTCCTTGACATAAACGATAATACGCCTGAATTTGTTCAGCCTCTCTATGAGGTGCAGGTCCCAGAGAACAGTCCCATCGGGTCGCTTGTCATTACTGTCTCTGCAAGGGACTTAGATACTGGGACCCATGGAGAGCTTTCCTACTCATTTTTCCAGTCTTCAAACCAAATCATGCAGGCTTTTGAAATAAACACAGTCATAGGAGAAATTCGATTAAAGAAAATGTTGGATTTTGAGGAAATTCAATCATACCAAATGGAAGTTGAGGCCTCAGATGGCGGGGGTCTTTCTGGAAAATGCACAGTTGCCATAGAAGTTATGGATGTAAATGACAACGCACCAGAACTGACTATGTCATTACTCAACAATAATATCCCAGAAAACTCCCCCGATACCGTGGTGGCTATATTTGGAATTTCCGATCCAGATTCGGGGGACAATGGAAAAGTGATGTGTTCCATTCAAGACCATTTCCCCTTCCTTTTGAAACATACCATAGAAAACTTCTACACTTTGGTCACAGAAGGATCGCTGGACAGAGAGATCCAGGAGGAGTACAACATCACCATCACGGTGACAGACATGGGCATCCCCAGGCTGCAAACACAGCACACCATCACGGTGCTGGTGTCCGACATGAATGACAACGCCCCCGCCTTCAGCCAGCCCTCCTACACCCTGCTGGTGGGCGAGAACAACAGCCCAGCACTGCACATAGGCAGCGTGAGCGCCACTGACCCCGACTCTGGCAGCAACGCCCAGGTGACCTACTCGCTGCTGCCTTCCCAAGACCCACAGCTGCCGCTCGCCTCGTTGGTGTCCATCAACGCCGACAACGGGCAGCTGTTCGCGCTGCGCTCGCTGGACTTCGAGGCCGTTCGCGCCTTCGAGTTCGGCGTGGGCGCGTGGGACCGCGGCTCGCCCGCGCTCAGCAGCCAGGCGCGGGTGCGCGTGCTGGTGCTGGACCGCAATGACAACGCGCCCTTCGTGCTGTACCCGCTGCAGAATGCGTCGGCGCCCAGCAGCGAGCTGGTGCCCAGGGCGGCAGAGGCGGGCTACCTGGTGACCAAAGTGGTGGCGGTGGACAGCGACTCAGGCCAGAACGCCTGGCTGTCGTTCCAGCTGCTCAAGGCCACGGAGCCCGGGCTCTTCAGCGTGTGGGCGCACAATGGCGAGGTGCGCACTGCGCGGCCGCTCAGCGAGCGCGACGCGCCCAAGCACAGGCTGCTGGTGCTGGTCAAGGACAATGGGGAGCCGCCGCTGTCGGCCAGCGTCACGCTGCACGTGCTGCTGGTGGACGGCTTCTC